CTGTATTCAATATCCTGTGATAAACCATAATGGAAAAGAATATTAAAAAAAAGAATGTCTACATGTGTAAAACTGAGTCACTTTGCTGCACAGCAGGGATTGGCACAGCTCTGTAAATCAACTATACTTCAATAAAAAAATAGAATTAAAAAAAAAAGAGGGCTTCCCTGGTGGCGCAGTGGTTGAGAGTCCTCCTGCCGATGCAGGGGACAAGCGTTCGTGCCCCGGTCTGGGAAGATCCCACATGCCGCGGAGCAGCTGGGCCCGTGAGCCATGGCCGCTGAGCCTGCGCGTCCAGAGCCTGTGCTCTGCAACGGGAGAGGCCACAACAGTGAGAGGCCCGCATACCGCAAAAAAAAAAAAAGAAAATGTGGTTGATGAGATAGGAAGAAGGAGTAGAAAAAGGAAAAAGCAAGGAGCAGGCCATAACCCCCATCTTCTCCCCAGCTACCTGCCTGCGTACTGCTGATGTTAGGAGAGGAGAGCCACAAATACAAAACAAGATTGAAATTTTAACAAGTACAAGAGACTGGGTATTTTAACAACTAAACTACAACTCTGATCTTTGACTTGAAATAACCAGAGGACAGTTTCCAGAAATGTTATAGGGCCTGCCTGAGTTTCTTCCCAAGGGCAGAACTGCATAGAACATATTTAAAGGGAGAATAAATTATAAAAATCAAGGCTTTCTCTTTCTGACTTACTTCACTTAGTATGATAATATCTATTTGCATCCATGTTCCTGCAAATTACAGGTGTGTAGGAATTTAAAGAAAAATTACAGAAAAATGAACTACATACATCACCCCCTACAGTATTTTTTGCAGCAAATAAAAATGTGTGTCTAACATCACTGAGGTATTGTTTCCAGGAAATGGAAACTATAATGAGGGCCTAATCAAAAGCTGCTGCATCAGTGTGAAACAGAAGTTCTGAGCATGAACCTCAAAAACTTTAAGGAGGACAGAGCTGCCTTTTAGAAAAGAAAACCAAGACCAGGAGAGTCCAGTGTTTTCAACATATGGTAAATACATTTGTTCCTGCAAAGGGCCTCAAACAAAACAGGCAACAGACAATGTTAAGATCCCTAAAAGGAGTTTTAATCTGTTCCAAGACAGTGTGCTTCAGAGCAGGGAAATCGCATGAATAAAGAGGCATTTAGGAGAGTGTTCTTGTTCCAATCCAGGAGACAGAGTATTGAAGGAAAGATCATTGAGAGGGAAACCTCTAAGGAAGCTGCTGCGGGAGTTTGATAAATAATGCAAATGGGCTGAAACCTTAATATTTAAAGCTATAGGGGACCTTGGAGAGTTTCTAGGCCAATATTTTCCTCTTGAAGCCAAGCAAGGAAAACATGTTCATAAAATGTAACAGACATTAAAACTCAGATGTGCAGCCAAATCTTAAGTTCCTTATTTAGTCTAAAACTAATCTGTCCTGTTTCTTTTTTCTCCACATAATACCTAGTGGGTTTAGATAAAAACATAATAGAGATCTAGACATAGAGAGATCCCCCATCCAATCTGGTCATCTAACAGTCCCTTCAAGTAATGCTCACTCTCCCATTTGGATAAAAACTCTGTATCACAAGAGCCTCTTCTTGCCCAACACCCAGTGAAGTCACAACCATTTTAGGTATTACATTCTCCTGGTGTTGGGATGAAGTGGCCCCCAGCCAATCCTGGCACTGGTAATGCTGGTGTCTGAACTGAGGTCCCCTGTTCTCCAAGTTATGGTTTGCTGCCCTGGACACTGTTGCTACAATTTACAGCCAGCAAATTTATGGTCTATTCCTTTGGCTTGGACTTTGTTCCCAGTAGAAATTGGCTTCTTCCTCTTGCCAACTCAGCTTTCCCACAATTCTTATTGGCTTCAGACTCATGGTTCTCCCTACTGCCTCCATACAGTCCCCTGGCCTAGAGATCTTTTCTCAACCCCTGTTTTGGGGTCACTCACCCTCACTGTCTCTCACGTTAGTGTCCAACCTACTCCCTTCTCTACACGGATCAGGATCTCTCTGCTCAGTCTCCTCCATGAGTCTCAATTAAGGGAGCAAGGAAGAGCCGCATGCCATTGATATCCCATCAACTGCCCAAACTCTTTCAACCCAGGCTAAAGCCATGAGAGGGAAAATCAGGCTGCATATTTAACTGTCCCCATGTTCTCACTCTTGCTATCCCTTCTGTCTACCAACCCTCAAGGCCAAACTCTTCTCTTATTTTCTTAACTTCATTCCTCACTTCTTTCTGACTTGAGTCTCTCTGTTAATGCTTAGAGGAGATTAGGGGAACCTTCACTAAACGCTATGACAAGAAATACATACACCTAAGACTCCGGTCTAACATTAAAATAATAAATAGATTTGAAGGGTTCGGAATTCCTAACTCTTCAAAAGCCTTTCAAACTTATTATCTTGAAAATATATCAAGTGTGTGCCTTCTGTTGGTCAAGCATTAATCATCAGAGAAATGAAAATTAAAACCACAATGAGATATCACCTCACACCTGTCAGAATGGCTATCATCAAAAAGAACACAAAAAACAAATGTTGGTGAGGGTGTGGAGAAAAAGGAATCCTCACACACTGTTGGTGGGAATGTAAATTGGTGCAGCCACTATAGAGAACAGTATGGTGGTTTCTCAAAAAACTAAAAATAGAACTAGGAGCCTAGTACATTCACAAACTGAAAGGTAATTATGCTCCCTTTGTTTTCATATCATTAAGTAATAATAATGCTGAGCAGAGAGTAGCACTTCAGTCTATCTGGTATATATTTCCTACCTTCCATTCATTCTCTCATTCATCTATTCTGCAAACATTTTGTAAGTACCTTTTATGTTCTAGGCACTGATACTAATTGACAGGGTATAAGGTTATTCCCAGTGCCTTAGGCAGCCTGATCCCAGGAAATACAAATGCAAGAACCACTGAAAAATACCCAACATCCTATCTCAAGCTATATGGAATAGCTGTGATCAAATATTGTAAATCAGATATTTTCTGGTTCTAATATTCTATGATTCTATGATAGTTTTATGTTATTTTCTTAAGGAGTTTTTAAGAAATTACTTTTGGGAAGTAACATGCTGAGAGAAATATGGAAACACAACTATGGAGATATATTTTATTCCTCATACTTAAAAAAAAAAAAACCTTTTAAATGAAATCATCATGGACAAATGGCAAAGACTCTAGGGATTTCTTCCAAGATCTCTTTTACCTTCTCCCTTAGAGAATTTATCTGATCTGGTGTCTTTAGAATGTCCAAATCCATACTGTCAGTCCAATCTTCAGTATAGAATAACTATAAATTTTAAGTTGGAAAAAAGCAATTTGGCTTTATAACCATATGTATGATCTGCCTGAAATGTGTGAAGGGGCTGTGACATTACTGCTTACTCCTCAGGAGAAGAAAATACGATCAGCTAGAGCTCCTAATTCCCACACCTCAACCACATATATTGTGATAATTAACTGGATCATTAATGGAAACAAACACTATTACAATCTAAACTGAAGATCACTGCAATGGGAAATGTTAACTTCTAATGACCTGCCAACATTAATGAGTTTTTAGTAAATCTAAATATATCTGAAGACTGGAAGGAAAATATTACTGCATTAAGAAGCTAGATTCCATCAGCACATTTTGTCTCTCATTAAACTTCATAAAACCTGGAAATACTGTGAAGCATTTTGAACTGTGAAAACACATTAGTCAGTGGTAGCACACTAGTCTATCATTCCAATGGATAAAATGACTGAGCCCTGGAACAGATACGAGTTCTTATGGACCTCCTGGTTCTCCAGGGCATGTCCCAAATCTGTAGAGTCCAGCCTAAAATTGCCTAAATAGAGCATAATGTTGTAAAATGTGTCCCCAGAGGATGGCTCTGTGCTTAAGTACAGATTCACCACCTTAGCAACCCCAGGCTCAGGAGTTCACCAGCACATACCCTGATGGTTTGGTCCTTCAAGCTAAGACATGCATAGTCACAGCAGAATGTAACTATGTGGCATGACTCAGGAGACACTGAAAAGGTCTGTAGTAAGGAAAAAACCAGGTCTAACAAATAAAATATTTATTTTTAATTAAAAAGCCAAGATGATTGAAACTACCAAATTTTAGCAAAATTTCTGCAGGATCAAAGAGTAAAGGTAAATTTGACTGTCTATATGTCCTAATGGAGAAAAGGCCCCAAAAGAAGGGAACAGAACACAAGTTAGAATCAATGTGAATGAAGTCAAATCCGGCTGCTGCTGCCTAGCAAAGCATGGCCATAGGGTTGGAATGGACGAGGGAGGGAAATGAGGTTATGAGATAACGGCCATAGACAGAAAAACCAAGCATAAAATGTTGGGATAATAAGCTATCCAAATACAGTGGCTACCCTGCTCTGGAAGGCCACAAGAGCACGTGGTATGGACTATGCTCACTTATATCCCAAGATTGTTTAATGATCTTAATAACCAGTTCCCAACTGCAGTCTTTTCATTACAGTCTAAATGAATACAAGAGAATTAAAAAAATCAAAAGTAAGATTAGGTAGTCAGTACTGAGAAGCCGTTTCCTGAATTTATTTAGCAAATTGAGCCATTTATAACAAATTAATAAGACATTGGTAATTGATTTTGGAATTCATTACAAGCGAACTATTTCCATGCTCTGAAATTGTCACCTTGGGGTGAGATGCTAACTATAATAATAGAAGCTAACTTCTTAAAATAATAAAGTTTTCCTTTTGGTCATCAGGTCTGTTTAATTTAAATGTGAGTTTATTAAAGTTGGCTTAAAAGGTGAGTCATTAGTCAGGAAAATTGGTGGCTGCTATTTTCAAAGATTTGGGGGGGGGGGCTTCCCTGGTGGCGCAGTGGTTGAGAGTCTGCCTGCGGATGCAGGGGACACGGGTTCATGCCCCGGTCCGGGAAGATCCCACATGCTGCAGAGCAGCTGGGCCCATGAGCCATGGCCGCTGAGCCTGCGCGTCCGGAGACTGTGCTCCGCAACGGGAGAGGCCACAGCAGTGAGAGGCCCACGTACCGCAAAAAAAAAAAAAGATTTTTTTTTAACTACTTTGAAAGTAACAAATGCTCTGCGACTCAAATTTGGCTGTATCTTTTAAGATGGCATTGAGGTTTAGATCTGAAATGGAGGTAGGATGGTAGGACACCTCCTAATCCTGTGTTCCATACACAACATCTGACAGACAGGCTATACGGGGAATTCTGTTTAAGAGCTGAAGAAGCTCCTAGGCTATATGGCAGTGAGAATTATAGAGAACATCTCTGACTTGTGGCTATTGTTCCACTGATGCAGACAAACTTAAAATGAGAACCCACTGCTTTCATTACATAAAAGAAATTAATTTGGTAGCTCCTTAGAAAAAGGTTGATTGGTGTCACAAAGAGCAGAAGGAGGATGAACAAGGTGATATATGAACAAAATAGCAACTAGTCTCAAAAGAGGTAACTTGTACAAAGTGTAATTTACTCCAGATTCCCTTTTAGGAAGAGAAACTAACTATCTGAAAAGGTAAATATACTGTTCTCAGAGGGCATCCACCAGTATAAAGAACAGAGTTGTTTGTTCTGAAAAGATGAATTTACGAGGTCTTTTTAAGTATACTCAGTGCGTGTCTTCTTATTTCTGGAATATAAAAAGGGAAATATTAAAACTTGCTTTGAAAATGACTTAGTTCACATTAGCTCACTCTACCTGCTAAAACTGTAACTTGCTGTTCATGCATTTGCTAATAGGCCACTAATTTTTTCCATTTAAATGGATACGTTTTTCTCACACTAATTGTACATCTCAATATTACTAAGTTTGGCATCTTGAAATGGTGTTCCCATTAGGTAACTAACCTATGTAAGTTATTAATGTTCAGCTGAGATATTAGTTTAACATTTATTAAAACATTCTTTGCCATGTTAATACATAATATTCCTTTATTCTCACTATTTTAAAAATAAAACAATTTGAGAAAATATAATATTGAAATATACAGAACCCCTTTTACTTTTATGTATCAAGTTATATCGTAAAAGTTTAGACATTGAACTTAATTCAACCACTCAAAATACCACATAAACCTGGAAAGAAAAATTTATGGATGTGAAAAACCACCAATGCAGTACTAAGACAGACTTTATTTACAACTTTGTTGATAGATCTTGGATTTCAACAGAACTGGAAACATGTGCACAAAATTCAGGAAATAATTACTCAGAAATGTCATACTGACTTTGACCACACCCTCTACAGGCCAGTTATTGTACTCCTGTGCTCCTGCTTGTCCCAAACTTTCACATTCATATCAAATGATTCTCTCTCCCTTTTCCTTAACTCTTAAAACAAAATCAGAGTTTACATTTTCCTACTTTTAATGGTAAAGAATGTGCCTTCCTTAGTCCTCCAACTTCATAGGACAAATGTGCTTCCACATTTCCTGATCTAAAGAAGCAAATCATCCTACTTTATCACCAGTAGAGTGGTTCCCTTCTACCCCATCACTCCCAGACTGTAAACAGCTTGGACCCAGCCCTGCAGCAGAGTGGGGAGACGGAAGGGGTAAGACAGGCTAAGAACTCACTGCAGTGTTAGTAGGAGTCATAGGCAACAATAAATCACACATTTCACATGGCCCAATCTGCTGGAAATCATATGAAGCACCGTTTTCTAGCCCTGCCTGCAAGCCTTGTTTAGTATCCTCTCCATAAATTATCTGATCACCTGAACAGCTTAAGTACCTACCCTGAGAGTACTGTCACCAAGCAAGGGGGATTAATTTAAGATATGCCACACCTCTCTGTTCAAACAACAAAAAAAGTCTGTATACTATAGTTACATGTAGGTTGCCCTTGCAGTCATGTCTTGTTACTCCTGTTTACTGCACAGACCCCTACCTACAAATAAAGAACTTAATTGAAGAATTAATTGATTACAATAAGTTCTTTGCCAATTTGCTCATAATTTGCAATGCCAATTTAGCATAATATGTGTGCCCCTAGAGCTCACAGTCTCCCACTTTGGGGATATATTTTTGAAATCTTCCAACCTTTTTTATAGAAAAACACAAAAAGAAGTTGGTTCCAGCTGTGACTTCACTCCCTATGTCTAAAGATACTACGATTTTCCAGTCTTGGGTCTGGCAACATCTATGTTTATGCTTTAGTTCAACACTTAAAAAATGTTAACTGTGAGAGGAGTCAAGATGGCGGACTAGGAGGATGTGGAATTTGTGTCTCCACACAACTAGGGCACCCACCAGGCACCCGTGAGGGACCATGGACACCTAAGGGGACGGGAGGTACCCCCAGCAACCCGGTAGGATGTGGGGCATGGGGAGGAGTGAGGGGGGAAGAGAAGTGGAGGCTTGACGGGACTGGCGTCCCTGAGGGGCAGCTGAGGGAGGGGAAGGGATCCCATGCCCAAAGGGGTAAATTGGGGGACCATTGGGAGGGCAGAGGAGCAAAAGGGAGAGTGGCCAGGTTTCCCCTGCCCACTTGGGCCCCCAGGAGCCTGCTGAGAAGCCGGGCCTGATCCTCTGCCCACCAAGGCCCCCTCCAGACGGGTGGATCCTGAGGGAGTGGGAGGGAGGGAAGGGGGAACAAAAGTAAAGGCTGGACCTATGAGACTGGCACCCCTGAGGGGTGGCTGAGGGAGGGGAGGACTTCCTACACCCAGCAGGACCCACCCACAGTTAGGGGTCCAGCAGCAACAGGGGAGACCACGGGGGAGACATGGGGGGACACAAAGGAGCAGAAGGGAACATGGCCAGCGCTTTCCCTGTCCACTTAGGAACCAGGGAGCCCATTGGGCTCTCGGGCCTAATCTTCTGCCCTTCGAGCCTCCCTCCTGCTGCCCAAGTGCCCAGGCCCCGCCTCTACATCCCCACCCAGGGCCCCACCTCTACACTCGGAGACCCACTCTGAGACCCCCTCCAAACGCACTGGGCCTAAACCCCACCCACACACCCTCACCCAGGACTTTATCTCCAAACTCCAGAACTCCACAGAACTCCACACTCGGGAGGCAGCCCTTTAGACATGCTGCCTCTCTGCTTCTGGGCCAGTCCTAAGCAGAGGCCCTGCCCTAAACTTGAACATCACCCGCCTAGGCCCTGCCCCCAAGGCCTTTTCTGGCTGCATGGGTCCTGAGCCTAGGCTGACCCCCCCACCCCATCCCCCACCCCTACCTAGGTCCCGCCTCACCCTAAACCCCACCCCTAAGTTCCACCTCTGCCTAAACTCTGCCCCATAGCCAAGGTTTTTTGTTTTTTCTTTTTTTCTTTTTTCCTCTTTTAGATTGGGAATCTGTTTTACCTTGTTATTGACTCATTGTTATTTATTCATTTATATTTTTATTTTTTCTAATAAATCTTTTATTTTTCTGATTTTATTCTTTATACTTTGTTACTGTTCTGCTCCTTATTTTATTTTTTTTTTTTTGCAGTACGCGGGCCTCTCACTGTTGTGGCCTCTCCCGTTGCAGAGCACAGGTTCCGAATGCGCAGCCTCAGCGGCCATGGCTCACGGGCCCAGCTGCTCCGCGGCATGTGGGATCTTCCCAGACCGGGGCACAAACCCAGTCTGTGTCCCCTGCATTGGCAGGCGGACTCTCAACCACTGCGCCACCAGGGAAGCCCCTCTGTTCTGCTCCTTTTGGCTTGTTCCCCTTTTGGTTTCTTTTCTCTGCTGTGGTTTTGTTTTACCTTACTGCACTTGTTTCAATTATATTTTTATTTTTCCTAATATATTTTTTAGCTTTCTAATTTTATTTTGTTTTTTATTCTTTGTTATTGTCCTGCTTCTTTTTCCTTTTTTTTTTTTCCTTTTTGCCTTACCACGTGGCTTGCAGGATCTTGGTTCCCAGGCTGGAGGTCGGGCCTGAGCTCCTGTGGTGGGAGCTCCAAGTCCAAACCGCTGGACTAACAGAGAACCTCAGACCCCAGGGAATATTAATCAGAGTGAGCCCTCCCAGAGGTCCTCATCTCGGCACCAAGACCCAGCTGTATCCAACTGCCTGTAAACTCCACAGCTGGATGCCTCAGGCCAAACAACCAGTAAGGCAGGAATACAGAACCACCCATCAAAAAAAAAAAAAAAAAATGAAATGATACAAAAATATGTTACAGACGAGGGAGCAAAGTAAAAACCTAAAAGACCAAGTAAATGAACACAAAATAGGCAACCTACCTGAAAAAGAATTCAGAGTAATGATAGTAAAGATGATTCAAAATCTCAGAAACAGAATGGAGAAAATACAAGAAACACTGAACAAGGATCTAGAAGAACTAAAGAGTAAACAAACAGTGATGAACAACACAATAACTGAAATTAAAAATACTCTAGAAGGAATCAATAGCAGAATAACTGGGGCAGAAGAACAGATAAGTGACCTGGAAGATAAAATAGTGGAAATAACTGGCACAGACCAGAATAAAGAAAAAAGAATGAAAAGAATTGAGGACAGTCTCAGAGACCTCTCGGACAACTTTAAGCTCACCAACATTCTAATTATAGGGGTTCCAGAAGAAGAAGAGAAAAAGAAAGAGTCTGAGAAAATATTTAAAGAGATTATAGTCGAAAACTTCCCTAACATGGAAAAGGAAATAGTCAATCAATTCCAGGAAGGGCAGAGAGTCCCATACAGGATAAAACCAAAGAGAAACACACCGAGACACATATTAATCAAACTATCAAAAAGTAAATACAAAGAAAAAATATTAAAAGCAGCAAGGGAAAAGCAACAAATAACATACAAGGGAATCCCCATAAAGTTAACAGCTGATCTTTCAGCAGAAACTCTGCCAGCCAGAAGGGAATGGCAGGACATATTTAAAGTGATGAAAGGGAAAAACCTACAACCAAGATTACTCTACTCAGCAGGGATCTTATTCAGATTCGATGGAGAAACCAAAAGCTTCACAGACAAGCAAAAGCTATGAGAATTCAGCACCACCAAACCAGCTTTACAACAAATGCTAAGGGAACTTCTCTAAGCGGGAAACACAAGAGAAGAAAAAGACCTGCAAAAACAAACTCAAATCAACTAAGAAAATGGTAATAGGAACATACGTATCAATAATCACCAAGAATGTAAATGGATTGAATGCTCCAACCAAAAGACACAGGCTCGCTGAATGGATACAAAAACAAGACCCTTATATATGCTGTCTACAAGAAACCCACTTCAGACCTAGTGGCACATACAGACTGAAAGTGAGGGGATGGAAAAAGATATTCCATGCAAATGGAAATCAAAAGAAAGCTGGAGTAGCAATACTCATAACACACAAAATAGACTTTAAAATAAAGACAGTTATAAAAGATAAGGAAGGACACTACATAATGATCAAGGGATCGATCCAAGAAGAAAACATAACAATTGTAAATATTTATGCACCCAGCATAGGAACACCTCAATACATAAGGCAAATGCTAACAGCCATAAAAGGAGAAATCGAAAGTAACACAATAATAGTGGGTGACTTTAACACCCCACTTATACCAATAGACAAATCATCCAGACAGAAAATAAATAAGGAAACACAAGCCATAAATGACACAATACACCAGATAGACTTAACTGATATTTTTAGGACATCCCACCTAAAAGCAGAAGAATACACTTTCTTCTCAAGT